ATGCCCAGTAGGAGTAATTAAAGCTATCTGATGAGGGAATTTAGAAGTTGAAAGGGATGATTGTAATTGATCCTGATTCAATCCTATTACAGCTTTTTATAGTTTAAGCTCTAGAGAAAGCACATTCCTTGTCAAGACTTTATTTTACAGATTCCTTTGTGTGTGCTGTGTTTTCCAGTCTCTATTTTTCCTTTTAATTTTTTTTTCCTGTAGTAAATAATGAGCTGCCGCCTGAAATCCGGCTTGCCAGTGGTCAGCTAATGGGTGATGACCTGTCCCTCCTTACTGCAGGAGAGCTGTCACCTTATATCAGTGACCCTGCGCTGAAGCTATTCCAGTGTGCTGTTTGCAACAAATTCACCTCTGACAGCCTGGAGGCCCTAAGTGTGCATGTGAACAGTGAGCGCTCTCTCCCTGAAGAGGAATGGAGGGCTGTAATTGGAGATATCTACCAGTGCAAGCTCTGTAACTACAACACTCAGCTCAAAGCCAACTTCCAACTCCACTGCAAGACTGATAAACATATGCAGAAATACCAGCTGGTGGCTCACATTAAAGAAGGGGGCAAAAGCAATGAGTGGAGGCTGAAGTGTATTGCCATTGGCAACCCTGTTCACCTGAAATGTAACGCCTGTGACTACTACACCAACAGTGTGGATAAATTACGCTTGCATACCACCAATCACAGGCACGAGGCGGCCCTGAAGCTCTACAAGGTAAGCAGGGACATCCATTTCTGTTGGCATAGAGTAGAGAAGGGAATTAACTGTTTCAGAGCTTAGAGCACAAATCTGCAAGCGAAGAAAAAAAAGAGAGAAAAAAATTGAAGGGCAAGGTGCACACGTTGTGCTTAACATGTCTTATTGTGTACTCAAGTATATGGAATTGGAGAATTTATTTAGAAGATTTGCCATATATCCCTTTTACACCCATCTTAGGGGCATTGGTTGCTTTCCTGAAATATAATAGGTTTTCTGAGTATTTTGTTTATAAATTAGTACTCCTAATCCTCTTTTGTTGATTGGTTAAAAAAACAGCATAACAACACAAGTGTTAATGGTTACAGGTTGCAGAGGACAAAAATGGTGCTTCCTTGTGAAGGCATCATCTTTTGCTGACAAATAAGGACAATCAAAACACTATGTGTTGTGGGTTTTTTTTTCTTTTGTGTAAGTTATGGAGTAAACACACTCTCCCTGAGCATCACTTGAAAGTCTTTTACTTAAGTCTGTTGTTATTTTGCATGATTTTTCCCATATAGTAATGTTTTTATCCCCCACAATAGGTGTAGCACAGATAAAAGTGTTCATTAAATGGCAAATATACTTTTACCCTTGCTGGGAAAAATGTGCATGTGATGAACACCACTTATTATATACCTTGCCGTGACTTTTTCTAAACCCTAATTACTGGTTAATTTATTTTCTGCAGTTTGTTTACTGGATTGGCTTGATTGTCTTGGTTCATGTACAAATGTAAAAAATTCATTTCTATGATGAATAACTTGGTAACTTATTAAAAACTTCTTTTGTCTAGAGGATATTAAAATTCAGAAAATATTGCAAGCCATTAGTCATTGTAACAAGCTCTAAATATGATTACAAAATCCATTTTGCAAGTGTTACCTATTGATTTATACTAGAAATCAGTGATAACTATACTATCACACGTCAACCAGAGATCATAATACCTACGGCTTTTCTCCTATTTCAAACTATTGCCATGGAACAAAAAAAGCAGATTGTGATCCTCTAGAACAGGTGTGGGAATTATCTATTTGGATTGATCTGGCCCTATTTGCTTTTGGGCTGTTTCTTGAAGTTCAAATTCTAGATTGATGTACTGAGTGTAACAGCCTAAAGACGCTGTGTGAGAATTTGTAACACCGTCTCTGTGATATCGGCACTCTGTGGATCAATATGAAAACATTAGATTTGGGTTACACTGTTTACAGGGAGTACAGGCCCTAGTGTAAGATAGAAAGCTTCTGAATTGATGGTATTGAAAATATAGTATAAAGGATTAATTGTATTATAATTCATAGGTTTTACAGCAACAGTTGACAACTGCTCAGTTGTCAACTTTTTTTTCCGTTGATACCTGACCTAGTAAAAGTTTTAGAATATCTAGGAAAAAAAAACAAACATTAAGTTTGTATAAATAATAGATCTTGACCCTGGGAGATATATAGAATATTCATGAACTGTGTTTATATTCATGCGGCTCCTCTAACACTTTGAATTAACATGTTGTGAATAGAAGATATAAATGTACAAATTTTTCTATTTTATTAATCTCATGTGGGAAGCTAAAGAAAGGTAAAGCATTACCATTTATTTTCTCAGGAAAGGTTATTTAATCTAATCATTTGCTGACTGTTTGAACATGCATATGTATGTATGTGCTAAGTTTATCCATTCATTGCACAAGAATGGACTGACCACTCTCACAATGTGCAGAGCAGTTTGCCAAGTGCCAGAGTTACTCTTGAAGTTCCTTTACAGGGAGAGTTGGATATTGCTTTTGAATGTATAACAGCCAAATGAGATAAAAGCTTGTTTAGAAAGAGGGCTTCAGAGTAGAGAAAGCCTTAGATCCCAGAAGCAGATAGATGTACTCTTACCTTAAAAATGTTAAAAGTCATATAAAATTTACTTTTCCCCTACTCTTCTTTATTTGCTTATCTCTTAAATACTCAAGTGTCCTCATAGTGTAGTGTCTAAAAATGGTCAGCAAACAGACAAAAACGCACTCTGAACAAACTTACTTTGAATTAAAAGAAGATTGAAGAGATAAATATTTGAGCTATTGTACTGGGCAAATCAAACTATATTATTTTGCATTATCCTTCAAGGAGCACTCTTTATTTCTAGTAGTAACTACAAAAATACTCCACAGTAGCAATGTGTTGAGGGTGCCATTTCTAAACTGGTTTATAGAAACTGTGAGTCAGATATAGAGGCTTTTCAAGTGCAGTAATGAGAATATTAGCAAGCTTGGTCGGCTTGTGTCGGCAAAGTGAAATTGCTTCTTAAGTAGCATTAATTGCTTTTAAATGAGAACCTAACAAATTGGCCTGGGCCTGGAAAAAAAATGATGGTTTATAATATGGCTAAAATATTAAAATTAGACTTAAAATACTTTCTGAGTTAATGACTAGGCAATAATCTCTTATATAAAATTCATTTTCATTAAGAGTTTAATTTACATCATTTTGCATCATGAATTATTCAGACTTTAAGGGAAAGTGACAAGTAGCAGTTATAAGACAGATACAGAGCTTTGAGAAAACAGCTTTTCTGGTTATTGACAACATATTGATTCAACACTCTAAGTGTGTGGTGATGTGTCAGTTTGATTTGAATAGACCACTTTACCTCTTGCATTGTCAACCAGAGGCAGTATTACCTAAAAGAAGTGGATGTCCTTATTCCAGTTAAGGAGGTTAAAGGTTAAAGGTTAAGGGTTAGCTTAACTGCATCATCTGCCTAGCTCCTTAACTTTAAACTGATCAATTTAATGAAAATCTGTTTTACAGATGTTGCTTTAATGTATTTGGCAGGATTTAGGCAGCTTTAACATTAGACGTTTGCTAGTAAAAATTATTTCTTTATTTGACCAGAACAACACCTTTCCTTTTATGTTTAAGGTAGAAGGCTGGGGTTATGGTATTTTGGCAAAGGACCTAGAGGCAGCATGTGTTGATGATCTTTCCATATGGACTCTAAAAAAGAATACCTTTATGCCTATTGTTAACGATAACTGCAAAAAACAAACAAAGCTGTATTCACTTTTGGGCAGTGTTATTTTCCTTAGAATTTTTTAAACAGAATTTTGTTGTTGAAAAAAATCTTATTCATTCCTTCAAGCAAAATTCTCTAGTGCTAAGCACTATTAAATTTTGAGTTTCCCTCCAGAAATTTTAATGATGAAGCAAGATTGGTCTAGTAAATTAAAACATTAAAATGAAACTGCACATTGCCCATAATCTCCTCTTTTAATGTATGAAAGTATATTTAAAGTGAGGCTTATAAATACTAAACGCATACAGAGTCACAGTCAGTATTAAAGGTTGAAGTGTGTGTGTGTCGATAGGGTTATAGATACAGATATAAATACTGATGTAAATAAAGAATGCAAAAAGTGTTTCTCAACTACTGCTTTATCAGATTTGATGATATCCTCCTAATATCACGCACTGGCATCTTCTACAGATTTTTGGCAACTGATATTTGCTTAATGAGTCCTTAGTAAATATTTGTAAAAAAAAAATGGAAGAATAAATAAACTGATAAATGTGATGAAGAAACCCCAACCCTCATTGAAAAAAAAAAGTACTGCAATCGGGTCAACCCCATAAAGGATTCCCAACTTTTTCCAAAGAGTCCAGTAAAAAAGATATAACAAAACCCACTTAGCATGACACATTCAAACTGAGGAAGGACAAATAAGACTTTGGCAATATTTCAGATGGAGAGTTCAGCTTCTTCTTGGCTCAGAATGGCCGAGACTTTTCTGTCCCGCTATTTGGTCCACCGCTCTCCCATGCAGGGCATGCAAATTCTCTTACCACACCTGCACTTCAGCTGCTCTTATAATATTATGCGTATTTTTAAGGAAGGTGTGCACAGCTCTGCTGGTTCAAAGTAAAAAGCTTAATTATACTAGTTTTTTTCTTCCTGCATCTGCTAGTAGTGAAGCAGAATAGTCTGTCTGAATTCCATAAAGCTGTTTTTGGATTTGGATTTCAAATTGTCAAGAGCAGTGAATGAATCTCTTGTCTCCATGGTGAGCAGAGGAACACTCATAGAATTTAGTCTTAGGTAACTTTTAGTGTAACATTCCCCCAAGGAACATTTTTGGAGTTTTCTCATTATCCATGTTATGGCTGAAAGGATCCGGGTTAAGAACTAAAAGCAAGGTGTGGGGGAGGGTCAGAGAAGAGAAGGCAAGAAGCCATGTTGGGAAAAGTATGTGGCAAGGAAATAAAAAATGGAATGATTAGCTTCCCCTTCCTTTTTTGCTTTTTTTTTTTTTTACAAGTAGGAAATAATAAGCTGATTAGTTTGGAATTAACAAAGAATCACAAGCATTTCATTTCAGAATGCACTGATCCAACTTTGCAATTTAAAATCAAATATACCAGATAGGTACCATTTCAATTATTGAACTGTCATTGTCCCGGTGTGATGGTAAAAGTGGTCAGGAGATTGCGTGGTACACATTTGCATAAAAGTCATTGTGCAAAGGAAATTGGAATATGTGTGTGTATCTAAAAAACCAAAACAGGTTTTTCTTAATCTTACACTAGTCATTTGTTTAGATGAAGAAAGCTGTTTTCAGAGATAAACAAGTTATTCTATTCTTTTCTGTTGCTAAACATTAACATGAATATGGAAATGTTTGCACTTTTTGTAGTGGGTTCAGATTTGTGTTCCTTTCCAAGTTGAAATACAGTATGAAATCTAATTCTAGTTGCAGGATTTATTTTTAAAAAATAAAGTCATGATTGAAATTATTCTATTGTGTTCTCATATGAAAAGACAAGGCAGACATTGGAAAAAACTACAGTTTCTGTAGTAGAACAATACATGCTTGCATAATACTTATAACTAATAAATACACAGATCAAATAGAGAGAAGCTAGTTAGCTAATAGCAACTCATAAATCACCCATGTTTTCAGATCACAGTGTAATTGGCCAGCCCTATCTACT